TCCACTGGGAGGTTATTTTGAAAGTTTAACCCCTGAGCAAGTCATGGCTTCTCCTGCTTTTGAAAGTGTCAAGTGCATTGATTATAACTGCAGGAAGTGTTACCTTCTACCCAGAGATTCTCACCCTGCACAATCTTAAACACTGTCTCCCTCCTAAAACAGCTTTGATTCAGCAATTCAGGCCCCTTCAGTTGATATTAAAGGCAGAATCACCATAGAAAAGGGATCAGCAGTTAAAATGAAACACAAGGGGCGGGGGAAGGAACACAGATCTTGGATATGGTACCACAAAGCTGGAGAGAAAAGCAAATTCAAAAAAGACATCAGAGTGACTAAAAAAGAACAATATGACAGAAATTAAACAAGATTTTTATGCTTGCCTTCTATGTATTCAAACCAATCTCAACTTTATTGAAATTCTGATCATATCCAAACCCCAAGGCTTTTGACATACTTTCATAAATCCACACCTCCTCTTCTCTTTCCTAATCTCCAGAGTCATTGTGAGGTATCCCACAAGCTAAAAAAAAGGGGGGGAAGAGAATTCTTCTATTTATACAAACTAACAGAAAAGACCATATAACCCATACAAGCACATGAAACATAAAATGTTGTACATATTTTCTAGGTGAATTATTCCAATGGTTAAATAGCAAAAGTATGTAAAATAAAAATTTTAATGTACCTTTAAATTAAGCACACATATACAAAGAAGGCCCATGTAGAGATAGCAGCAAAATAATGCTACGGATTACAGTTCGTTAAAAGAATGATTTAAGAAGACATACAGTACATCCTGATCAGTTCATTCTATACTCTGAACAATTTGAAACATTCAGAGTACAATTATTTAAGAAGAATCAGTTTCTGTAAGAAAGCTTATGCAAATCTGTACATGAATCATATAAATAATGTCCAAACTTACACAAGGTAATTGGATTTTCATAACTGAGAGTAGTTTTATTCCTATTCTTTCATGACAGGGCCAGAAGGTAATGATATGTTTGCCATGATGCAACAAGCAGACCTGTCTTCTGTCAAAAGTCAAAATCATGAAGGAATAAGCTGTCATTAACAGCCTCTCTCCAAACACTAGAGCTGTCATCTCACTGTTTTCCTTTGTTGGCATGGGGACTGGTATAGGCTTATATAGTCTGTCAATACAATGTCACTCCAAACATTTATGGTAACCTTCCTTCTTATTTTTCCTTAAGCCATCTTTAACTGGGTTTATACAAACACTAATTATCTATTTATAACCAGTGGTATAAAATTTCTCTGTAATATTCCATTCCATTCAAATTTAATCGGCACAACAACGTATTACTAATAAGTATAACTTATTGCCACATATTTAAAAAAATGCAATGGAACCTATATTTTACATTCCAAATATCTTATCATAATTCATTAGACTACATTTGGGATATGGAAGTCTTTATATTGCATCAAAGATATTTACATAATTTTATTTATTTATTTATTTATTGATTGATTGATTGATTGATTGATTGATTGATTGATTGATTGATTGATTGATTGATTGATTGATTGATTTGATTTGATTTGATTTGATTTGATTTGATTT